GCTGAGGTGTTTGTAATGGCTCAGATCTGAAAGTCTTTCTTTGACTTTGTTCTGAGGGTAAAAACACAAAATGAATGTAGTTGAACTCATCACGCCCCGTCCAAAGCAACAGGTAGCCTCATGTTTCTGTCTCATTGGTCATCTTACCTGTTCGAGCTGCAGGTGATGTGATGCCAGCGATTGCTGACTATATTCAGGTCGAGTAATTGCCATTACTATCAGCCTCCTCGTGAAAAAAACGGGGGAGGGGAATCTACAAATTGAACTCTGTATATTCTATCGAAAACCTGATGGAAAAGAAAAAATTTTACCCCAGAAAAATCTGCATTTTTGTTCTTCAGCTCCACAGAGTTGCATTCTGTCTGGATGAGCTCGAGTGCGCCCCCTGTGGGACAGGAAGTTCACAAGTTTAAGTTCACGTTTTAAAGGTTACACGCACACATTCACATGGACTTGATTTTGAACTGGATCACAATAACAACTCACACTAAGGAGTCCAGACCTTTCACATTAAAGGTTGAAAAGAGTGTAATCTGTTTTCTTAAAAGGCTTTTAATGTGAAAAATCTGTCCTTTTTGATCACTCTGAAAACCACCCAACCCAATCAGTGAGGTGACCATTGGGACTGAAGCGATGATGTGTTCTAACAGTCACGGGTGTGATGGTTCCCGCTGTGACTGGATTGGTTCGTGCTGGTCACGAGCACGCTCAGACATTATTTGAACACTGGCTATTGTTTGAGAATTTACCGCCAAAAATCAGCAACAGAAGATGTTCAGATCAGTGAGCAGTAAATAAAGTAAAAACATGCAGACTGTTTCTGTTTGTACAAGCACCCTGAAAACACTGTAAATGAAAGATGTAAATGCTCATAGAAAAGGAAATGTACAGAAATGAGCCTGTACTCACTGTGGCATTGATTGTATTGATTTTGTTTCCATTTATGCACTTAATCTTCTGAAGGAAAGTTTTCTGTCTTTGTCTGAACTGTAGCACAGCACTGTAATATGAATAATGATTAAAGCAGAGTAGTTCAGTTTATGGAGAATTGCTTGTTGCTAATGAGAGAACAGTAAAAGTGTATGTAGTGTAGTTTTACCCAAACAGATGTGTTGAGGCCAATCAGGAGGAAAGGTTAGAGTTCATTTGTACGTGTATAGTTTTCTTCGTGCCTTTTCCATGTAAATCTGCTCATTCTGCAATAAAACATTTACTAAAAGCATTTTTTTTTTTATGTCATCACGGAGCTTTTTTTTTTTCTGTAATCTTCACGTCTGCTTCTGAGCCATATTTCAGAGATTCATTTCACAGCAAAGTGAAATTAAAATAAAAATTTAAATTCATTCTTTATTTAAATACCGTATTTTTCAGACCATTAGGCGCACTGGATTAAGCGAAACAAAACAGTCAGATAAGTCAAATTTTACTCAACTCATTCTTCTTGCTTCCTCCACTTCCGTTCCATTGATTCATTAATGCTGAATTCTCTCGCAGCTCCTCTATTCCCGTGTTGTTGCAGTATATTAATGACTAACCTCGTATTGTGGATGGATTATCTCAGTTGTTCTCCTGACTGAAGTTTGGTCCGTTTACAGCATCCTCCAATGCGATTGCATTTGTCCCCAACCGTCGGGAACCCTCACATTAACTTTTATCGAGTGGAAAAAGGTTAGCGTTCATCCTCCAGCCAGAGTTACAAGTAACGTGTTACTATAATCCGATTACTTTTTCAAGTAATGAGTAAAGTAAGGGATTACTATTACAAAAAGGTAATTAGATTACTGTTACTTTCCTGTAAGCACGCTGCGTTACTGCGTTACTAAAACCATGATTTTTTTTTTATGAGACTGTCTCATGACAATGACGTAAACGAGTGTGACGTTCGTGGCAACAGTTGTGTGCAGATAACAATGGATAATATAACAAGTGCGGGGGAGAGTACGACCGTGCAGCGTTTAAAGCGTGGAAATACTGACCTTACTTTGGGTTTGATTCCGTAAAAAGTGACAAAACATTAGCGCCCACTGTTCACTGCATGGGAAGAAAACTTCTTTTTACAGCGAAAAACACCCTAAACGTCAGAACAAGCACAGAGTACGCTGCCGCAGAATGGGAAATTCACAGAGAAACTCCCGGATCCTTCCACTGACCACTGCGACACACCTGCACCAGGGCAAACCTCTGCCTGCTTCACTCCTGCTATACAGGTGAAAATAGAGCAACAGGACTGCTGAGTCTTTGACTTTATTTATTTTCTGCTGTGTTTTACTTGCATCTATTTGAAAGAGTGAGTGTAAACACAAACTATTTTATTTTAT